ATTCTTTCTCATGCATAAGTTCTTCGTGAATCATTTTAGGTATCCAAACATCATTTCCTATGTTGATTGTTTGTTCTTTAACAGAACTTTTTTCATTTTTAGATGCATTATAATCATTATCATCTGTAATTATTAAAGATCTTGAAGCTATTGTAAATAATGTAAATATTAAATATAATAATATAAAATAAATTTTTACCATGAGTACGATTGCTGATCGTTTCTAGGATAGTAATAATATTTTTTCCGGTTTTTTCTGTAAGGTTGTAATTTCCAGATTCTTGCAAAGTATTATATTGCTCTTCCCAAAACTTTGCTCTGTCTTCAGCATGCATAAGTTTTTGTAAACATTCATCTAATTCTTTTTGTTTTTCTTTTAGTAAATTATTACTCGAGTCTTCTTCATTATCAGAAATATTGGATTCTTCACTCTTGTCAGCAGCACTGAGTTGTAATGACTGCTGCTTATTAGATGCACTTACATAAGCAGCAATAATAGAAGTATTTGTCTCTTTTCTAGATTTGTTACAACGCTCTTGATTAATCTGAGAATTTTCAAAATTACATGAATTCTGAATTACACGTAACAAATACAAAAAATGTTTTAAACTAAGGATGTACAATTTTGAATCGATTCGATTTTTTTTCCCACATGTTTGAGAAAAAAGGATTATTCATGTTGTTTGCATGTTTCATATTTTTCGCTTTTAAAAGATGACGGAAACAAATTGGAACGTTTGGAAGAAATAACCAAGTTGATTATCTTGCTCTTGCTTCTTCTAGGCATCCAGATATTCCCTCTCGTTCTAAATGTGAAAAGTGCAGAAAATGTAAGTGCAGAAAATGCTATTTTTGGGAGAAAGAATTGAATCGATTCAGAATCGTGCATCCCTATTTTAACCCTTTTTCAAGTAATGTGTCCGATAATTAAACAATTATTGGATGCAATAAAAATAATTTTATGTATCATTTTATACACATGAAAAATATTATTAATGATAAAAATCAATGTATCTAAATACTTGCATATTATAAATATTAACAGTATACCTAGTTAGTATGCCATATTACTCGAAGATATAAACATTTTAGTAAAAAGGTAAAGTAAAAAGGTAAAGTATGAAATATATGTTTGGTTAACAACATAAAGATTATTCAATTATATAAAAACATCGTTCTATTGTTTAATGATGATGTGATTTTACCTTTCTTCTTTTAACGATATCGCTGATTTCATTTTCTTCTTCCTCACTGAGTAAAGATTTATCATTATCATGAACCGTAGACATTGTTAATTTCGGAACTGGAACTCTTCTTTTATTTAATTTCTTCTCAAGTGCTGCTTTTGTATCTATGAAGTGAAAGTGAGAACATACAAAGTTATAAATTAATTTTGAACAGACAATATAATTTACAATCAAATATGTATGAACTTTTATCTCCTAACTTTAAAACTTGACAAGTTCATTTATTTCCATCGGGCAATATCAATTTATGAATATTTTTTTTTTATCATTATCATGAACCGTAGACATTGTTAATTTCGGAACTGGAACTTTTCTTTTATTTAATTTCTTCTCAAGTGCTGCTTTTGTATCTATGAAGTGAAAGTGAGAACATACAAAGTTATAAATTAATTTTGAACAGACAATATAATTTACAATCAAATATGTATGAACTTTTACCTCCTAACTTTAAAACTTGACAAGTTCGTTTTTTTCCATCGGGCAATATCGATTTATCAATATTTTTCTTATATATATCAGTTTTTGAATCATAATTATCAATATTAAATTGGTAAATGTCTGTTGTACGCACAATCTGATATTTTTTAGTTTGTGGCGTATATATATATATGCAAACATAATTTTATTTTCTGCAACATCAATGAAATTATTTGAAACAATATTGAATAATGCTTGTTCTACAATATGTGATTTTTGTTTCCTGTTTCTTGCTGTTTGCCTCTGTTTGTCTCTTGCTTTTTTTATCAAAAAGGCAAGAGACAAACAGCAAGAAACAGGAAACAAAAAGCACATTGTAGAACAACCATAAATCAACGAGAAAACATTTAACACTTTTGAACACGTCGATTCTAAGAACATAACCTTACTAACAAGTACTTTTGTACTAACTTGTAAGTGTAATGAGAATTATTTCATAAATTGTACAATGTTAAGCATTAAAAAATGTTGTCAAAATACTTACGTTCTTTGTCTTTTGTTGATGCCATTTCGTT